TTTTTTTTTTCTAACGTAGCTATCCTCCATATAATTAAGACAAAGACCTATAGATTTATCCAACAATCTTTAAGCATAATAACTGTGCAGAATTCCTAGCCCTCTGTGCTATCTTAGCTGCTTCCCAGGTACACACTCCAAGATACTTCCGTTCGGTCTTGCCTTGGCTTGCTCTGCTGTAGCTATCTCTCCTCATGAAGAACTCCCTTGACAACTTCTCCTCTTGCACGACCTCATGGATTCCTTCCTCCTCCTCTTTCTCAGACCCCTGGCTTAGACTGGAAGTCAAGCCTTCCTGACTCTTCTGCCCAGTTATTGGCTGTTCAGCTTTTGATTAACCAATCAGAGATAACTGGGAAGCATTCTTTATACCACAGGGATACAGATGTTCAATATTCATTACAATGCCCATATCTGGAGTGTAACCAGATCTTGGAGCACAGAAATCAGCATCTGAATACACAGTACAGAAGACCCTCCCCCAACATCTTCCCATTTTAGTCCAATAAAAGGCTCTTTTTTACTAACGATAAACTATATATAATAAGAACAAGTACTAAAACTATCAGGTAAGAATTGCATTTATAATGTCTAGTCCATTTCTTTTGGCATCTTTGAAGAAAGTACTCTGTCTATCCAATCTTGCTGAGTTTAGAGTTCTGTACTTAAATCATTTTCTATCATAGCTTGCATTTATGAATGTAAAAAAAATACACTTAGACGTAAAAGTATCTTTCTAAAACATTTTCTTAAACCCTAAACAGCTTAAGCTTAAATAAGAGACTATTACTATCTAGTTTTCAACCCCATTAGAGACATGAGAAGTATTACCTGAGTTTGGACAAAGTGCAGAGCAAGCAGCTTCCAAAACTACAGAAATGACAGAGAAAAGGCTGCCTGGACAGCTACCCAAAATTTCTCTTTAATGTTGGAACATCTATCTTCAGCCTTCCAGCCCAGTGTATGACAGACTTTTTTGTGATGCAGGACTTTGTGATTAAGGACTTGCCTACTTCTCCTAGCAAAGCTTGGTGTCCAGTTTGGACAGCATTCTATCTACAGTTTAAGTAAGGGCAGCTTCTTGCCCAGTGGATAGTTTGCCACTTTTGAACAAACCTCCATATGGAGGTTCTTTGGTGCTCATCATCTTTGAAGTAGAATTGGATGCTGTCAGGAGCTCACATGGCTCACTGCCAGAAAGCCTCTTATTAATAATAAAACATCTTTAAATGCCATGTCCTGTGGATCCCTGAGGTTTTGAAGACCAACTATACAGTATACCTGAACAGGCAGGCAAACATTGTTTCTAGCTATTTACCATTTGTTCAACTTTGAAAACACCTTTCTGAAATTAACTAGGCTAGTATCTAATATGACCTTGAGTTTGACTGACTATTAATTTGCATTTCATAATTATCCCAGTTTGTAATAGCAGCTTTCAAGGACTAGAACTTCACTTTATATTTTTAAATGGATTGCATAGTTTCGATAACTTAAATAAGAGTTGAAACATATACGTAGTATGTTGTGTCCAAAGATAACCTTAATTTTGTATCAATATGCAAAGATCTATACCAATGTAAGATTTTTGGCTAGCAGTAGCTCTATAATTTAAGAACAGATTCAATAATCTACCTTTATTTCTATATTATTCCTAGATCTCCCTTCCCCCCCAAAATATTAGATATGAAAGGATAGAGGAGAGAATAAGATAAATCCCTGAGTCTAATCCCCATACCTTGTTTCCCCCTCTAGTCAAGACCGTTATCAACTTTTAACCAACCCTCCTTTTAATGATGATCATTACACCGAATGACCAAAAACTACCCACCCCAGGTTTTGGAAAACGGGGTGTTGTTCTTTTAAAATTGATCCCTGCTGTCTGGGGGCATAGTTTTCCCTTTTTGTTGTTTCTTTCTTTTATTTTCCTGAGGGGTGCAAAAAATTAGGATATTGGCCAGTGTTAAGAAAGGTGGTGGTAACGTGCTGTTATGTGCCATGAAAGTGTAAGTTTAAAGAAAATCTTGACTAGAACAGTTGGAGAGGCTGAACCAATTGGGTCATCTGGATTCAGCCGCTTTTTTTTGAAGCTGTCCTGGAAGCAAGTTTTGATGAAAGAGCTAATAAGGAAGTCTGAGGGTGGATCCAGTAGGATGATGGAATCAATGTGTCTCAGCATTCTCCAGGATGACTCCTGTCAGGGCTGTCCCCACTTCACTAGTATCTGGTCCTTTTGTTCTGTAAACATATAAAATTTCACAGATAATATACATTTTTGCATTAACACATGTATGGAATATGGAATGTGCACCTATCACTTAAATATGATTCTTAGTTCTTTGTATGAAGAGGTGAAAGGCACCAGTCTTTCAAAGTTAGTCTGGACTGTCTTAGTTTGGATTTTATTGCCGTGAAGAGACACCATGAACAAGGCAACTCGCATAAAACATTTAATTGGAGCTGGATTTTCAGAGGTTCATCCTTTATCATGACAGAGAGCATGGCAGCGTGCAGGCAGACATGGTGCTGGAGAAGAAACTGAGAGTTCCACATCTTGATCCGCAGACAGTAGAAGGGCACTTTTCTGCCCAGTGCAGGAACATGGGAGACCTCAAAGCCAATCCACACAGTGACACCCTTTCTCCAACAAGTCCATACCTCCTAATAGTGCCACTCCCCATGGGTCCAACATTCAATCATGAGTCTATAGGAGCCAAACCTATTCAAACCACCATGATAAACAAACTGTAATAAATTTTCTTCCATGTCATATGAAAGGATTTAGTAGCCAACAAGATTTATAGGCTATGCAGAGCTAAAGTTCAAGCTGGAGACATTTTCATGTCTCAGCCAGTCTCCAAACTGTTGCTTTACAGAGGGATCAGCAATATGTGTTACCTGTTGTTGGTCCTCTTGGTTTCATCCTTCATGACAGCAGCCAAGACTTTCAGAGGGACTCTTCAGGTCAAATCTGTGTTTCATACATTATGATGGAATCCAGTTTTTTTTTTCTCCTGTTGATACAAATACAAAACCTCTCCCCAAGTGTAACACATTTCCTGTCTCCTATTGTGAAGTTATGACACCCTTAACATGAACAGGCTGATTTAGTTCTGTAGTTTTTCTATAATCCATTGTCTCTCAGCAGCTATATTTTCTCATTAGCATTTAAAAAAATTAAAGTTAATAAAGCATAATGTAATCTATCCCTGGAAGTTTTTGTTACACCTGTTTGTTAAGCATCTCTTTTAAAGTATTTGACCTCTCTATAATTGCTTGTCCTGCAGCAATGTGTGGTGTACTGTAATATGCTTTATATTGATATGCAAAAAACCCTGCTTATTTTTACCAGAGACATATGAGGAGTATTGTCTGTTTTAATCTGTACAGGTAGCCCCAAAATTGCTATAACTTCCAAGAAATGTGTAATAACAAAATCAGTTCTTTAGAAGGTAAAGCAGTTGTCCATTGAAATCCTGAATATTTTGTCTATTGTATCGTGCATATATTTTAATTTTCCAAACTCTGCAAAATGAAAAACATCCATTTGACAAATTTCATTTCTTTGGGTACCTTTTGGGACACTCTCTGAAAGTAATGGAGTTGGGTTATATTTGTTAATTTCTCCAAATAGTTGCTACAATCTCTTTGCCAATCTCCATTGATTACTCATGACATAATCTTAGCATTAGTATGAAACACTTTGATTACTGTTGGCTCTGTTCCTGACCACTGAAAATTCTTCCTGTTATAATTAAATTCAAAGTCCTTTTGTTGGAGGTTGGTCAGATGCTGTCCCTGAAGATCTGGTTACACCTACCCTTGTTTTGTAAACTAAAACATTATACCTGATTGGTTAAAGGCCTATATTTGGGAAGGGCAGAATGGGGCAGGCATGGCTAAGGTTCCTGGACTTTTGAGGAGAGGAAATCACAGGAAACTGATGGATGGGAAGAGAGGAGGGAGGAGGAAGCCATGATGGAGAAGGAACCACGTGGGACTGGAGAAAGGACTCCAAGGATGGTGTGAAAAGGCCTAGACAAAGAATATAAGCAAGTACCATGGAATTCTGGATAGAAGGTAGACTAGATGAGGATGGTTAAGGGTGGCTGCGTGCTGGGAGATGAATGGTGAGGTTACTGAGACAGCCAGTGCAGGTAAAAATATCTGCCTGGCCCAAGGTAAATAAGGCAATTATAAAATCTAACAGGCGTCTGTATCTTATTATTTGTATTAGCAGGGCTAGATAATACCGTCGTGATAATCACAGGGCAAATAATAAATTTTATATAGCCCAACTCTGATTTTTATTTGCTACTACACCCTTTTTATATGTTTTTACTTTTTTACTTTGTATGCTAAGAAGATCCATTCTAAAATACTGTCTTCCCTTTGCATAATGAGGCCAGTAGGAAATGATTTGAAGACAAAATAACTCAAATACAGTCCCCCGTGAAGTCTCCAGAAGCCTCTGGATTTTGGGGGAGCTCTTGTCACTCAGCACCATGGAGCTGACCTGACAGCAGAACAAACCTTGAGATTCCCTGCAGTGTGGACCCTCTGGTGGTAGAGGAGATGTGATCTCTGACTGAAGCCTTAGAGCAGATGCTGCAGATTCTGGGCCACTACCCAGTGTGGATCCTCTGGTGCTTCTGGAAGTATGAGGCGTTATTGTAGCCCTTTCCACACTGCTGACATGTGTAGGCTTTCACTCCTGTGTGGACCCTCCGGTGAGCACTAAGCCCCGCACTCCATCTGAATTCCTTCCCACACTCCTCACACTTGAACGGCTTCTCTCCGGTGTGAATTATCTGATGGACTTGGAGATTGGACCTCTGGCTGAAGGCTTTCCCACATGTGTCACATTTGTAGGGCTTCTCACCGGTGTGGACGCTCTGATGAGCCTGTAGAGCTGAGGTGTGACTAAAGCCTTTCCCACATTCCTTGCATTTATAAGGTTTCTCTTTCATATGGATTCTATGATGGGAGTGAAGGTTAGAGGTACTTCTGAAGCACTTCCCACACATATCACATATGTATGGTTTTTCTCCCGTGTGAACTCTCTGATGGGTGTGAAGATTTGAGGTACTTCTGAAGTGCTTCCCACACACATCACATCTGTATGGTTTTTCCCCAGTGTGAACTCTCTGGTGGGCTTGAAAATCTGAGCTCCCACTGAAGCCCTTCCCACACACATTACAGTGAAATGGTTTGTGTCCTGTATGGACTCCCTGGTGTCTATGGAAGGTTGAGAAGGAACTGAAACCCTTCCTGCACTCTTCACATTTATATGGCTTCTCTCCTGTGTGGACCCGCTGATGGCTGTGAAGGTGCCAACTCAAGCTAAAACACTTCCCACACTCGTCACACTTGTACGGTTTCTCTCCAGTGTGGAATCTTTGATGGGCATGAAGATTTGAGCTACAGCTGAAGAGTTTGCCGCAGTCTCCACACTTATATGGCTTCTCCCCTGTGTGAGTTCTCTCGTGGATCTGGCGGTGCTCCCACTTTGTGAAGCCCTTCCCACACACCTTACATTTGTAAGGTTTTTCTCCGGTGTGCACTCTGCTGTGGATTTTGAGATCCCACTTGCGGCTGAAGCCTTTCCCACAGGTGTTGCACTGGTAGGGTTTCTCGCCCGTGTGCACTCTCCGGTGATTCTGAAGGTTTGAGCTCTGACTGAAACCCTTGCCACACTCCTGACACCAGTAGCGCTTTTTCCCTGGATGAGCATCTTGTTGAATGGGGACACTGGAGCCAGGCCTGGTGTCCTCATGTCTGCTACAAACAAGGGATTTTTCTCCTAAGAGGACCTGCTGATGGAGCTGCAGACTGGGGCTGTCAGTTACGGCTTCCTGCCCCTTGCTGCACTCGTAGGCCTTCCCTTTTGTGTAAATACCATGCTGAGTGAGGGGTGATACAGAAAAAATTACTTTATCACAGTCATCGCTGCTGTGGGCTCTGTCTCTTTTATGTACTATATTGTGGTGGGAAATGCAACACAGAATGTCAATACCCGAAGCCAACAGCATTGCACTGCTTTTCACCGGAGCCTGTGGACAGTGTTTCTGATGGTTCTGGCTTTTGCTAAGATGTGTTTTACTCCATGAACTTTGAGTTCTCCCAGACAGAAATTCCTGATTTTCAATAATGCTGCAAAGGTCACTTGTAAGACTTTCAAGACAGCTGTCATCCTCAGAGGTCCCAAGAGGCTCTTCTGTTCCCCCATGGCAGGAGGAGTGGTATTGCTTCAGGAAGTGAGAACCCCTTCCTTGAGTGTTTATAACAACTTCTGGAGTTCTTGCCAGTTTGTTCACATCCTGGTTTGTCATTGGCCAGCATGGAAGCCGCCCCAGCGAAAGGCCCCTTATTAATGTTGCGTGAAGAGACTTCATCTTGTTTGGAGTCTGGCCTCCTGAAAGAATAGAGAATAGACGGTGATGTCAGAAGGAAGGGGTCATGGAAGGCCCAAGTCCTCAATTCTCTCTGGAAATGTTAACGAGACCAGCATTGCAGATGAATGTCTGAGAGCTCAGAGGAACAAAGATCTACAAGGAGAACACACACTCAAGAGCAAGCCACATTTGATCATGGTGTAAAATTTGGGGTGAGCCCAAAAGTGAAGGCTTACGGTCACCTTCAGCCTCTGCTGAGTCCCTGCCTTGCTGTGTCCAGGGGCAGCTGTGCAGACGGATAATGGGGAGGAAGCACTTCTCAGCATCTGAGCATTTTCCTTGAGGGATGGTGTGGGCTGAAGTACACATGGGTCTGACTCCTCCCTGAGGCTGGAGGAGCAGAGAAAACCAGACCTGCCTGCTCCTAACCTGTTTGCAGGTGACATGAAGAGCACCTGGTACCCCTGACTTGGAGGTGAGAGAGTCAAATGGGAAGCCGCAGGGAGCTTTGGGGGCTGAGGGAAAGAAAGCAGGTGAACAGGGCATGCACAGAACAAAGGTGGCCCAAAAGCCATTGTCTAAATCGAGGAAGTCAGGGTACTGGAGAGCACACCCACGTAGGAGACTGGAGAAACTTCAGAACATAAGCTCGCTTGGAAACTAGAGAGGAGAGCTAAAGTGTTTAGATGGCCAGACTCAAAACATGCCTGCGGATCAGGGAGGGCTCCTCATGGAAAAAGGAGAACATGTGGGCAGAAGCAAATGGCTTTCCTTCAAATGCCTGCTCTCACCCTCAGATCGCCAGGCTCACAAAGGAGCAGGGGGAAGCGGCTCAAAACAAGGTAGATCCCAGCTGCTAACCTACAGCAGCAGATGTCCTGATGGAAAAACAAAGGCTGCAACACTGTCTGACAGGGCCCCCAAGGAAACAAAATAATCTGAGAACAAACTGTCAGGGCAAGAAACAACCAAGGTGAACTGAACAGCTTCTGAGGCTAAAACAAAAACAAATGAAGTAGAAGGTTCAGTGATCCTGGGACAAAGCTCCTTGGCTTGACTGACACACTGAGAACTCTAAATGTCAGTGGGAGAAACAGGAAGAGGAACAGGCTTGTGGGTCGGGTGATGGATGCTCTTGTGATGCAGAGGAAAGGAAGATAGAAACTGCTGTAGCTGCACAATGGCCACAGGCTTCATGGAGCTGTTACTCAGTGTGCAAGCACTTGGGATTTTGGTGTATGTCATCACAACCAAAACGAAATCAATGTTAACAGGTGTGACTGTGCTCAGGCAACAACAGAGCAAGTGGAGAGTGAGGCACATGTAAAGCTGCCCCTCAGGGCTGGGCCTGAGCAGACGAATGCAGGGAAAGACAGCGAGGCAGAAAGAAAGAGGGACACAGAGAGACGGAGAGAATACGGCACTGTACCAGGGAAGCGCTTTCAGGCCAGAGAGAGTAAGCAACAACAGCTGAGACACAGAGACAGAAGAAAAAAAAAATGGAGATCAGCAGAGCAGGAGCTTGAGGCCCTGGGAGGATGGGGTTCCAGTCAGTCACCACAGTGCTTGGGAAGCTGAGGCAGGAAGACCACAAATTTTTAGGCAAGCCTGGGCTACAATGCAAGACTTTACTACAAAACACAAAAGTTAAAAACAACCTGATTTAACTGCATTGCCTTGCAGACCCCAAGAAGTTAGAGATGCCACAGGCATGGGACACTGGCCAGAAAAGCTGCTAATAGGGAGCGGAACCAGCCCAGGAGAAAGAAGTGTGTTACGGCCCACTAAGCTGAAAGGAGGTGGAGATCTGAAGAGCGCTTTAACAAGAGACAGGGAGATGCAGAGTTTGGAGTTTGCTCTCTTGGTTTTGGTTCAGTATTTCCTCACTGTGCTCCTTTCCTCCCTTTCATATGCTGTATTATGTCATCTGCATTTTTATTCTGATTTTACGGGAGGTTGCAGTTAAGAGAGTGCATGAGTTTCAGAAGAGACTTTGAACTCTGGACTTAGGATTGAGACTGTGACAGACTATGGGGACTTCTGTGGCTGGATGGCATTCACCTGCATTCTGGTCTGGCTATAAGCTTATCGGGCCGAGGCGTGGAATGTGCTGGTTTGAATTCGAATGGCCCCACAGGTTCATGTGTTTGAAAGCTTGGTCCATAGAGAGTAGTAAGGCTTGAGAGCAATCGGGAGGTGAGGCCTTGATGGAGAAGTGTGTCACTGGGCTTGGGTTTTGGAGTTTCAAATACTCAAGCCAGGACCAGTGTCTTGTCTTTCTGTAGATGTCTGGCCGAATGCTGACTGTTATGATAATAAACCAAACCCCACAAACAGTAGACACGCCCCAATTAAATGCTCTCCTTTATAGGCGTTGTCATGCTCATGGCATTAACTAAATGCACGCACACTCATACAAAGAAATGTTCATAAATTTTATTTAAAGCACATCTATGCATAAAATGCAGTCCTAAAAAATAAAGTGGAAGCTGAAGAGATGGCTCAGCAATTCAGAGCAGTGGCTGCTCTTTCAGAGGACACAGGTTGGATTAGCTGGCTCACAACCACCTGTTATTCCATTTCCAGGGCATCTGAGGTCCTCTGCGAGCACCCCCAATGTAAGCAGTAGACAGATAAACATGCAGAGAAAACACTCAAATATACATTAAACACAAACTAAATGAACCTAAAGGAAAGCAGTGAACATTGGATGTGACCAGGACATCGGATGTGAACTTCTGACACTGCCCAGGGACACAGGGCGCCATCCTCACCCACTGACAGAAGGTTCCTCAAGTTCTCCAGCATCACGTCCTGGTACAGCTTCCTCTGCGCAGGATTCAGCAGCTCCAGCTCCTCCTCACTGAAGACCACAGCCACATCCCTGAACGTCACTGCCTCCTGTGACAGCAAACACAGGCCACCTCAGTTTCTTACCCAATGCCAGGAGGACCTGAGCAACTGTTTACACAGAGCCTATTGTTTAGTTACGGATTCATGGCTAGGACTAAACACCATGACCAAAAGGCAAGTTTGGGAAGAAAGGGTTTATTTGGCTTACATTTCCACATTCCTGTTCATTATTGAAGGAAGTCAGGACAGGACTTCAGGCAGGTCTGCAACCTGGAGGCAGGAGCTGATATAGAGGTCACTGTTGTTTTCTGGTTTGCTCCCCATGGCTTGCTCAGCCTGCTTCCTCATAGAAGCCAGGACCATCAACCCAGGGATGGCGCCACCCACAGTGGCTGGGCCCTCCCACACTGATGAGTAATTAAGAAAGTGCCTTACTGCTGGACCTTGTGGAGACATTCTTCTCAACTGAGGCTCCTTCCTCTCTGACTCTAGCTTGTGTGAAGTTGACACACAGTACAAGGAAGCACACCTGTTCACATCTTTCCATGGCTACAGAGGGTGTAGTGGGTAGAAAACAGAAAACACTGTTGCAACGAACTTGTTTTTTCTGTAGTTGGATCACTCTGTCCACAGTTGTCATGGGAAGTCAGCGATTTCAGACTTAGAGAGCACCAACCCATGTGGGGACTAATGTGCTGACTTTGGACAGACACAGCTGGCAATACCCGGCTCCTCCTGGGCAGTACAGCTCAGGTGTACCTTCATCCCCAAATCCAAAAGACTCTGAAACATCATTTAAAATGTTTTTATGGGTTTCAGATTCAGAACACTTTATTAGTAAGTGTATGCAAATATTCCCAAATTAAAAAATCCCCCACAAGCACTTGTGAAATGCTTGTGTGTTCAGAAGTATCTGGCACTCATTATGTCCTTAGCTCTGTCATTCTAACAGGCTGTACTGGCTGCTTGTGTGTCAATTTGACACAAGCTAGAGCTATCTAAAAGGAGGGAACATCAACTGAGAATATGCCTCCTAAGTTGGGCAATGGTGGTCAAAGCCTTTAATTCCAGTAATTGGGAGTCATAGGCAGGCAGATCTCTGTGGGTTCCAGGCCAGCCTGGTCTGCAGACAGAGTTCCAGGACAGCCATGGCTACATGGAGAAACCCAGTCTGGAAACCCTCCCCTCCCAAAGAAGAAAATGCCTCTATTAGATCCAGCTGTGAGGCAGTTTTAAAATTAGTGATTGATGGGGTAGGACATATCCACTGTGGGTAGAGCTATTCTAGAGCTAGTGGTCCTGGATTCTATAAGAATGCAGAATGAGCAAGCCATGGGGAGCAAGAATGTAAGCAGCACCCCTCAATTTACTCTGCATCAGCTCCTGCCTCCAGGTTTCTGTCTGTCTGTGTTCCTGTCCTGACTTCCCTCAGTGATGAACAGCAATATGGAAGTGTGAGCCAAATAGCCTCTTTCTTCCCCAACTTGCATTTTAGTCAGGGTATTTTCTTGCATCAATAGAAACGCTAACTAATATAGGCCATGGTTTAATCCCAGCATTCAGCAGGCAGAGGCAGGAAGATCTCCAAGTTCTTGGTGAGCTGGGTTTACAGAGTGAATTCCAGGCATGCCAGGACTACACAGAAAAACTGTCTTCAGGGTTGAGGGGAATGAAAAGAAATATGAAACCCTAACTAAGACACAGGCCTTTGGGAACCTTCTAGTACAGACATGCAGCTCTCATTACATGTTCTCAGGAACACACCTCTGTCAACAGTAGTTTATTCAGGGTCATGGGTGTGAGCACAGGCTCTGCAAACCTTAAGCACCTCAATTCACACTTCAAGGTTCTAGACTGATGGAGCTTGTGCAACTTCTCAGTGCCTCAGTTTCCCCATCTGTATAATAGTTCCTCCATCACAATGTCCCTGACAGGATTAAATGAGACCACAGAAAGAACCTAGGACACTGTTGGATATGCCCTAAGCAGTATGTCCAACAATGTATGTCCAACACTTTTATCATTGTCTGCATTCCATTCATGGCCAGATAGTGTTCCATAAGGGCTGCACTAAATACATATTTTTAAATGTACTATCCAGATACACACAATAAATGTAAAACAAATCTTTAAGAGAAAGTTTCAGAAAAACTGCTATTTTTAATCAGTAACCAAAGTTTCGAAGATTTTTTTTTTCTTTTGGTTTTTCAGGACAGGGTTTCTCTGTGTGGCCTTCACTGTCCTGCACTCACAGAGATCCACCTGCCTCTGCCTCCCCAAGTGCCAGAATTACAGACATGTGCTACATTTTTTTTTAAAAAGTGCCCAGTTTAGGTCAGAATACAGAGAATCAGGGGTATTCTGCCTACAAATTACCTGAGAAAATCACAACTGCTATTAGTGAAACAAACATTTCCTCCTTGGAACTGATTGCACTGCGCACCTGGAGAACTTGGCTGAGCACCACGTGAAATATACCCTTTGCACTAGTATTCATGCCTTTTTTTCTTTTCTTTTTTTCCTGAGACAGGGTTTCTCTGTGCAACAGAGCCCTGGCCATCCTGGACTCACTGTGTAGACTAGTCTGGGCTTGAACCTAGCCTGCCTCTGCCTCCCAAGCACTAGGATTAAGGCATGGGGCACCACACGCAGCTCTATTCATGTTCCAATTTACCTAACCATGCCTCCTTGGTGCTCAGTGCTCAGAGTTTCTGGGCAGCTTGCGTTTCAACACCAGAGCACACAGTTCATTTGATCCCAGCTTGACTGTACATGTGTCAGTGTGTCTGTCTTTCCTTCACTTCTTCATCATCAGAGATGGGTCAACCCCAGAAGCTATGCAGATGGCAGCAGCCAGACCTTCCCTGGTTACTCAGGATGTGAATGCTCAGGATACCAAATGCAGGAAAGGAGGGTGAGCATTCATGTTTCAATTTACTGAATCATGCCTCCTGGGTACTCAGTGGAGTATAATAAATGCACGGAGTTTCCAGGCTGCTGGTGTATCTCCATCAGAGCACAGGGCTCATCTCATCCCAGCTTTACTGTACATGTGTCTGTGTGTCTGTCTTTCCTTCATTCCTTCATTATCTGTTTTGGGTCACTCCCTGGAGGCAGGCAGATGGTGGCAGACAGACCCTCCCTGGTTACTCAGGATGTGAATGCTCAGGATGCCAAATGCAGGAAAGGAGGGTGAGCAGTGTTCTGTGCATGTGTGTGTACACATGTATGCATACATGCAATTTACATATGTACATGAGGGGGCACATGCATGTAGAGGCTAGAGGACAACCGCTGGTGTCCTTCCTCGGGTGCTGCCACCTTTTCTTGTTTTTGTTCTTGAGTCAGGGTCTTCCAGTGGCCTGCAACTTGCCCAGTAGGCTAGGACGGCTGCCAATGAGCACCAGGGCTCTGCCTCTCTCCACAGAGTCCCAGAACAGCAGACCCCTCCCTCCAGTCCCCTTCCTCTATCTCAAAATATGTTCACCCTTTTACACATTCACATGTGCAATGTCCTCTGAGCACATGTCCCCCACTATCCTCTTTTCCCTCCTCCAACCAAACCTTTCTTCTCAGCCACATCCCCTCATGCTTTCATGCAGTTCAGGTGGCTGCGCTGCACAGTGCTTGTCCAGCATGCAGGGGTCCTGTTTTCATTCCCTGGTGCTGGGGGGAGAGGGGAAGCAAGGCGACTTACCTGTAACTTGGTCATGGTTCTTTCTCTTCTTCTCTTTGAGACAAGGCAGGGCTCTGGCAAGCAAGATGGGGGAGGAAAGGCTTTCATGAGAGCTGTGCTGGGACAGTCAATCACATGGCTTCCTCAGCTTTCCCACCAGCCCCAAGTGCTGGCATTCCAAGTCTGTGCACACAGACCTGGATTTTCTACCTACTTCCTATTAGCCAGCAGAGTAAGCCTCCAGGTTACCAAGTCATCCATGCCTCAGCTCACTCATGGCAGATGGTTAGAAAACCCGTATTCTCTATTTCTAGCAACTTCCAAGTTGAGGGGTGCTGTCACCTTCACAAAGCTGCCTGTGATGATGGGTTTCCCAGGAAGCCAATTTTAAGGAACTCTGAACTCTCTGATGAACAGTGTCTTAACTGAACCCCACCCTCAGAAGGGTCTTTTTTTTTTCTAAACATAGGCATTAAACCCCCACCCGACGGGTTCCCGCTCCAAAAGGTTTAAATACTAGTAAGCCTTGCTCCTCTGCAAGAGCCTCCACACAGTCTCTTTTCCCGCGTGCACGAAGATAATAACCAATAAAACACTCAAACCCTCTCTAAGGAAAGGGGAGTCTGGCCCTGCTGGACGGCTCAGCGGGGAAGGGTGACTGCGCCCAGCCCGACCGCCTGAGTTCCAGTCTCTGCACAGCACATGGTGCAAGGAGAGACCCGAATCCCACAGGTTGTCTTCTGACCTCCTCCACGCACAAGCTGTGGCACGCTCCCTCGCTAAGGAAGGAAGTAAATAAACAGACTCATGGAAAATCATATTTAAAAGCGCAGCTGCACACCACTGAGGGCTTCAGCGCACCGGCCTCGGTCCTCCAGCTCCTCCGCCGGGCTCCGTGGGAAGCTGGACTCTCCCGGGGGCTCCGGCAGCAGCTGAGACGGTCCAGGGCACCCGGGCAGCGCCGCCCCAGGCAGAGCCCAGCGACAGAGGACCCGGCCCCCGCCGCCCGCTTCTGCCCGGGCCGCGGCCTCGGTCCCCGAGGGGAGACAGCGGGCGCGCGAGCGCTCACGAAGGGCTCGGGACGCCCCGGATCTCGCCTCACCAGGAGCTCAGCTGGGAGCCTCGCCTCCCGGGAGCGGAAGCGACCTCGGCCGCCGGTGGCACCAGAACTACAATTCCCAGAATGCCTCAGCGAAAATGCCTCTCCGGTGCCTTTCCGGGACTACACTTCCAGAACGCTAGAGTCGCTAACAATTTCTGTGCCGCTTTAACTAGAGTGAGGTCAGTGGAAATCGCTGTTAGGGAGCTCGCTCTCCTGGGATGCTTCTCGGTTTCTTCATTTCTGAATGCCATGAAAGACAATTGTTTGGGTTTTCCAGAGAGTTTCTTTGTGTAGCTCTGGCTGTGTTGGAACTCGCTGTGTAGACCGGGCTGGCATTGAACTCCAAGATCCACCTGCCTCTGCCTTCTTAGTGTGAGTGGCATCACCTGTGGTTAGGTAATACCGTGTCAGTCTATCCTTTTCTGTGGTTTGGATTGTAATTTCTATCATGCTGTCTGCCAGTTCATTCGTTTTCTCTTCCATCGCCAATATATTGTTGAACCCACTTAATTCCACTTAAAACCCAACGGGGGAGGGGCATTGTAATGCTTAGCTCTGTAATTTCCATCAAAAGATACTGGCTTCCCATCCACAGCTACAGAGAGTTATTCTCTTCCTAAAACTCAGACTTTCTATTATAACCTGCCTAAAGCCAATGGAAATCAGGGAAGATTTATTTTTCTTTTTAAAGATTTACTTTCCATGCAGCGTCTTCAGAGTCTAGAAGAAGGCATGAGATCCCGGAACTGGACTAACAGGCGGTTGTGAGCCTCTCAGTATGGGCACTGGGAACCCGTCCTGGGCCCTCTGCCAGAGCAGCAAGAGCTCTTAGCCACTGAGCCATCTCTTCAGTCCCAAAAATTTTCTTTTTGAGTTGATGTTGGCATTGAACGCAGGACCTTTCAAATGTTAGACACATGCTCTACTGCTGAGCGCCACGTCCTGAGTCCGTCACTAGACTGTAAGAAAGGAATCGACCATTGAGCCCTGATTCCTGCTCAAGGATGCGTTCCTAACTTGTAAGCTCTGTCCATGAAATAAAAATAAATCCAATGGACCAGCCATGATGGCGCATGTCTTTGATCCTAGGGTTCAGGATGTAGAGGCAGATGTATCTGTGATTTTTAAATTAGCCTCCTCTACATAGCAAGCTCCAGGACAGAAGGCTGCACAGTGAGACCTGGATTCAACAAACAGAACCGGAACAGCCCCACTGAAATCAGAGCTAGATAAACCACTCATGCAGCAAGTCATCTGAAACAGGAAGGGGCTTTGAAAATATATTGGTAAAAGATAAAAAAAAAATAACCAAAAAAAATGTATTGACAAAAAACCCCAGGAAGAACTCAGAGAGGGAGGCTCCTGGGTGAGCCGCTGAAAACTTGGAGCTTTTCCCGACATGTGCCTAAAGATGCTCACGAATATGGACCAAATCCAGAGAATCCAGACAATGAAGCCTCAGGACTGTGAGGCTGACAGATTCCTTGTGCAGGCCATGGATTTGGACCTACCACCTTCCCGGTGCTGTGCAGGCAGGGAGCAGGAGGCACTGCCCTGTTACGCTGTAAACTAGTTACCTAAGGCCACTTCCTCTTTAACTACCATGGAGCCAGTAAAGTCTCGTTCTCCTTTTGAGACAGACCCTCTGCTCTGGCCTGTAATTCTACACCCTCCTGCCTCAGCCTCTCCCTACTGGGGTTTCAGTTGTGAGCCCCCGTACTTGGCTTTTTTCCTCCTTCCTTCTCTTCTGGCTCATCTTTTCCTTTTTTTCTGCTACTCCACCCCTTCTTTCTTCTTTTTAAGTAGAATCTTATGTATCCCAGGCTGCCCTCAGACTTGCTTCAACTTCTGATCCTCCTGCCTCTCCTTCCAAAGTTTAGGAGTTAGAAAACGAAACACAAGGCTCCTGCAATCTGCTTACCATGGCTCAAATGTGTACCAGCTAGTTTGTCAACCGGACACAAACTAGAGTCCTCTGGGGAGAGGAACCACAATAGAAAATTCCTTTATTAGATTGACTTATAGGCAAGTCTCTGGGACATTCTCTTGATTGAAGATTGTTGTATGACAGCCCAGATCACTGTGGTTGGTGCCAGCCTTGGGCAGTGGTCCTGGGCACTATTAGACAGAAAGCTAAGCAAGGCATGGGGAGCAGGCCAGTAAGTAGTACCCTCCAAGGCCTTCTCCAGCCCGTTTCCAGGCTCCTAACCTGACATGGAAGAGCCAAGGTGCTGTGTGGATGTGGTGTTCCTCCCAGCAACAGGAAGCAAATTAGGTCAGCAATGAGATATGCAAGGCAGAACTAGGAGCAGTGACTGTCAAAAGGGCACTTCCTCAGGAGGGCATGGAGGCTGTTACCAGGGAGGCCTTAAATTCTTCCTGCATCTTTAAGGTTTGCTTTTGATTTATATTAATGAATGCAGTGGAAGTTTTGGTTTCTTTAAAAAACTTGGTTATTATGCAAATATGTTTTTGTTTTAATTCCAAGTGTGGGATATGGGACTGCCTCAATTTACCCACAGGTGACAACAGCTTTGTGTAGCTCAGAGAGGGACATGGTCTTTGCCATATGGTAACAGACTCATGTGGGTCAGAGACAGGAAGGGCGTGGTCTTTGCCAGCTGCAGTTAGTTTAAGTCTGAGAACTCAGAGAGTGTAAATACCAGAGCCCAGAGAGAGAAGGGACACTTGTAGGAGGCCCCGAGAATGCTTTGGGGAGATGGTCAGAGGAGGAAGAGGGCTGCTGCTGCATTTGCTATTTGCTAGACTGCTGGATAGTTTGATGACTGAGATTTGTATTGCCCCAGAGAGCCCATTAGCCCCAGATAAAAGGAAGTAGCCATAAAGAAAGAAGTCTGCCCCATTTCACCACTAACCTTTCCTTCCTACCTAGTGTTGGTGGGTTGTAAGATATTAGGAGGGGTAAGGGGTGGATAAGGGAGTTAGAGGCATAAGAAACCAACATAAAACAGAGTAAAAAAATAGTGCCAACAAGTGGCTCCCAGACATAGGGCTTAAGAATAGTGGAAAATCTGGTTTTTAATGCCATAGAGGAAACAGGGTATGAAGACAGACTGTTTCAGGGTATCAGAGAAAGGTTTACTGCGGCTGCTGCTGCTGGGATCTGTACAAGTCTGCTTTCAGAGGGGATTTTCTGTTTTTGCTTAATCTTCCTCCTATCGTCCATCTTAAAAAAAGGTTGGAAGAATGGTTGAACATTTGGAAAAGTTGTGAGTGGATATGGAGGGGTCTGAGAAGCAAAAAGTGGATGAAATAGGAAAACTGAAAGTGTCATTCAATTCTCATAGAAAGACTGCAGAACACTGCAGAGGTGGCTGTGCAACTAGAGAGTTTGTGGGTAGAGGTGGACGTAATTGGGAAGCAGATAGTGCCACTGGTCACACCCGGTAACTGAGAGCCAGAGTTCCCTGCTCTTGCCACCTGCCCTGCTCCATGCAGTTTTGCTGCCATGTGCCTAAAGCCCAGGAGTGAAGGAAGGGGCCTGGAAGAGCAGGAGGCTGTACAGGGGAAAAGGTTATTCTTGAGCCAAGTGCTCCAGCACAGGAGTTTCCTGGGACTACAAAATCACCATCAGTTTTCCCAGTAATTGTGCAGCACATGCCTGCTAATGATGTTGGTCACAAATATGATTAAACAACATGGTGTCCAATAGAAGTGTTAGATCTAAAGCATTTTAAAGATCTGTTGTGTCCTATGAAATGCATTCCCCATTCATTAAACAAATATTAGGTAACTGGGCTACCCAAAATATAATTATTCCCCAAGATTGGTAGAGATTGGTTTCAGATGTGCTCGAAGCTGGTCAGCAGTTGTAATGGTTATTGTGGTGGAGGAATGAAGCCACAAAAAGAGAACATCAAAATATAGCAACGGGGATAAATGTTGTTAAAGATCAATTGCTTGTTGAAGGGCATTATGCTGACTTAAAAGAACAAATTAGATCTGATGATGAGGTTATAGAACAATGTGACTTAGCAGATTTAAGAGCTTGGGGCCTGGCGGGGGTGGGGAGGGCCAATCCACTCGTTTACTAATCTCTGGAGAAGCCTTCACAGACTTCTTACAGAGATTGCCTTCCACTGTAAGTACATGCATATCAGACCCTGCTGCCAGACAGCTGTTGATAGAGAACTTGGCCTTTGAAAATGCAAATACTGAATTTAAGAGAGCAATCAGACCATTAAATGCACAGGCATCACAAATGAATGGATAAGAGACACAACTGATACTGGCTTTCAGAAGCCTCATGCCAATTTCATAGGACAAGCCATAGACAGAGGTCTCAGATACCAAAATACATGACGCTTTCATTGTGGTGAATTTGGCCATTTACAAAGATATTGTAAAGTTAGAAACTTCAGAGCTCAACATTTCAGGTGCATTAGCTCTAGGAAATATGGTATTTTCAATGGCAGACATTACAGTTTCTGGCTGGAATGGAATGTCCAGGCTTTCTGGAGTTTGTAGACACTGTGGTAAAAGGAGTCATTTAGTGACTGCAGGTTCAAGAGGGACATACAAGGGAACATCTTGTATGTCCCAGTTAATTTGGCCATTTCCAAAGAAATTGTAAGGTAAAAAGCTTCAAAGCTCAAAATGGCAGCTACGATAACTTGGGAAAAAAATACGGTAATTGCACTTGTAGCCTCAAACAAGCAGCTTCTGGCCTCAAAGGATTGCCCAGATTCCCCCGAATTTGTAGGTGTTCTAAGAAGGGAAAGCATTGGAGTAACAATTATAAATCTATTTAGGATTTAGAAGGTAACTTTTGCCACCACTAAACAAATGAAAGGGCCTGTCATCTCAAGGCCCTGCAGTAAAAAATACAAGCTGTTTTCCTTTGGTCAGCCAGGAGGTGACAAGGAACAGAGGATCAAAACAAAATATTGCTGATCGCACTGATGGTACTGCAGGCCGAGCTGCTTTGGATCTGGCCACAGTGCACTATCCCCAAAAGTTAAGTGTTACAACTTTAACAAGGCTGTTGATGGTCCTTCACCTTCGGGGACATTGGG